GAACCCCCCCCCTTCTGGAGCACCTGCGTCGAAAACAACCTTACAGCAGGCCCCAGACACCAAAAACAACGAAGCCAATTTTTTGGGGGCAACGTTCATGTCCGACCGCTCGAAATCCCGACACCAGAAGCAAGCCATGAGAAATAATACGTAGCAGTTCATCTCCTTGGGTTGGAAGGGCCCGGGGGCTGCGTTTCCCCAGCTCCATCACCCGCTCGACGGGGGTGCGCGAGGAAGGTACCGCGCGGAAACGCAATTAGATGATTCGCAGCTTCTGAATGTCAGCGTCCACTCTGTTGGTGTGCCTAGGGGAACAAACCATGACATGAGCGTAAATGGTCTGGTGTCCGCGCGGATTTCTCGGGTTGGCGCTGGGGCTCCAGGAAGAGGCCTGCTGCAGAAGAAGAGGAGGATGAGCAGGAGGAAACCTTTCGAGTAGGGAACAGACTGCAGAACGGATGTACCCCAGATTTGATTTTCTCGTCGAACACATGAACGAGTACGTAGAATAGGCAGTAGATCTACGGAGCAGTGCAGGTATGTTTCGTAGCTTCGTCGAAAGGAGCGCGTTCTGTGGTCGCTTGGAGGGGGGTGGGGGAACCGGACCCCCCCCCTCCCGTGACGGAGGGAGAGGGGTTCGAACCCACCCACCCCCCTCACTCCTTTACTTTTCCTCTCTCCCTCTCCTCGGGCCAGCGCATGCGTCGGCGGCGGTTGGCGGCGGCGGCGGCGGGGGCGATGATTTCCTTTTCTGGGCCAGCGCCGGCGCCTGCGGCGGAGGGCGGAGGCGGCGGGGGGCGTCGACGAGCACGACGGCGGTGGTGGTGGTGGTGGATTGTGGTGGTGGTGGTGGCGGTGGTGGCGGCGGTGGTGGTGGTGGTGTGGTTTGTTGTGGTGGTGGTGGTTGTGGTTTTGGGTGGTGGTGGTGGTGGTGGTGGTGTGGTGGTGTTGGGGTGGTGGTGGTGTGGTGGTGGTTTGTGGTGGTGGCGGTGGTGGTGGTGGTGGGTGGTGGTGGTTTGGTGGTGGTATGGTGGTGGTTTGTGGTGGTGGTTGTGGTGGGTTGTGGTGGTGGCGGTGGTTTGTGGAGGTGGTGCTGGTGGTGGTGGTGAAGGCGGCGGTGGTAGCGGTGGTGCGGTGGTGGTTTGTGGTGGTGGTGGTTTGTGCTGTTGGTAGTGGTGGTTGTGGCGGTGGTGGTGTTGGCGTGGTAGATTGTGGTAGTGGTGGTAGTGGTGTTGGGTTTTTGTGCTGGTGGTGGTGGTGGTGATGGTGATTTGTGGCGGTGGTGGTTGTGGTGGTGATGGTGGCTGTGGTGGTGGTGGTTGTGGTGGTGGTGGTTGTGTGGTGGTGATGGTGGTGGTGGTGGTGGGTTGAGGCGGCGATGGTGGTGATAGTGGCGGTGGTGGTGGTAGTTGTGGTTATCGTCGCTGCGTCCCCGCCGTCGCCGGCGCCAGCACCGGCGCTGCTGGCCGCCGCCAGCGGCGCCAGCGCCGGCGCTGCTGGCCGCCGCCGGCGCCGGCGCCGGCGCCAGGGGGGAGGGGGAACGGGGGAGTTTGAACCCCCCCCCCTCGCCGCCAGAGGGGGGGTTGAACCCCCCCCCCCCTGAGGCTGCCTCTGGTCATCGTCGCTGCGTCCGCGCCGTCGGCGCTGCTGGCGGCCGCCGGCGCGGCGCCGAGGGGGGGGTTTGAACCCCCCCCCCCTCTTGGAAGGGGGGGGGGAGGTCGGGAGGGGGATGGTTTTGATCGACGGCGCCGAGTGTTGGGGGGGGGGGGCCCACCCCCCGGTTCCAAACGCGCCGCCGAATGTTCCCAAGGCCAGCGCCCATGAAATGAAACGCGTTCTCTCCTTCGTCAGGACACCATTTCTGGGGCAAGTCGATTATGTAGTCGAACCTCTATTCGAAGCCTTCGGATCTATCCTTCGACCCCTGGGGGCTCGAGGTCGGCCAAGAGAGCTCCCCGGGGGTCGTGGGATGCACGCGCGCCACCCACCAGACGCAGCTCGGCTCGTCCGTTATGTCCGCGGTCTCGGCTTCGATTCCAAGTCGGGAATTGCCCTCTACAGGAGGAAGATTCAAGAATAATAAAAAGAGTCTGGGGACGATTTTGGTATGTTTTGTTATTCGTCCAAAATCCTCCTGTAGGAGGACATGCCCGACCTAATTGTTCGTCGTGGCGCGTTCGGTTTCGGTCGGTTGGTTCGGTTATGCACGCGGCGTTTCGGTCTCGATCGGTCTCGGTTTCGGTTCGATCGGGTTTTCGGTTCCTGCGTCGGCCGTGCACTGCCATGGCAGCTAGGCTCACCATGCATAGGCACCCACACCCAGAGGCAGCGTCCGCGACCTTCGCCGAATTGGACTGTGGCCCAACAGCCATATTCCGGGATCGTCGCGCCCTAACCGAGCTAAATTTGGAAGGCCCATCCGGTATGACGCGCGGCTGGCTGGCGACAGCGGGGGGCGGCACGCCCGGAGCCCACACAGAAAAGAGAAAATCCAGCGGTTGGATCTCCGAGCACGCGGCGCACTTCCTCGAGGTCGAAGGTCCACTCCGCGGCCACAGGGACGCGACCACCGCGTACACACGAGGGCAAGGGCGCGGCAGGTTCATTCACAGACTTGGGCGCCTGCTCTGGAGCATGCATCGGACGGGTCGGAGCGAGCAGGTCCGCCAGGCTGTCGAAGCGAAGCGGCGGTTGGTGTCGCCAGTTCCTTGCGGCGGTTGCTGGACGAAGTGTTCGCGCCGTGCGGGGGCGAGGCAGTGCTCATGAAAATTCGAGTTCTCCACGGGCGTGTGGCCAGCTGCGTTCTTGAAGAATGAAGCAGCTATTTCCTTCGCTGGCGCGATGCTCACAGCTGATGGGACCTTCACGAGTACAACTCGGTTCGGCACCAACGCGTTACAGCGGCGCGCTGCCGCTGAGTCAGCGGCAGCGTGCCGCTGACATGGCGTTGAGCAGGATAGCACATCAGCATGCATAACCAAGATGGTCAATCAGGCGCAGCGGTCGTTCCCAATGGAGTGGCGTATGATCATCAACAACGCGTACGCCGCGCTAGCGCGAATTAGCAAGGAGGAGCGGGGGTGCTTGCATGCCGACTGTGCCTCGGCACTCGGGGTGGACGAGTCGGGTCAGCTGTTGCCACCCATACTGTTCCAGGATACGATCCACCACGGCGGCAATTCCATCAAGAAATGTGGGCAGCAAGACAGGCACCATCCTGAACGCCAGCCAATTAGTTCTTGCGTTGGCAGGCGCAGTTGTTTGATGCGAAGTACGCGCTCCAGTGCTCGTATGTGTGTGCGCAACAGACCAGTTCAAGCTGCTGTTCCACATGTCGCTTGCTGAAGATACATGGCGCAACGTGATCCAGAGGTTGTCGCAGCCCATGTGTGATCTTTGCACGTTCCATCCAGCAGGGGTGTCGCCGTAGACGAGCTAACAGCGATGTAGGTAACGGCGGTGTAGGTTTCGGTATTGTGGGGACGCGTGGCTCGCGCTGTCCTACACTTCGATGTGTCGTGTTCGCTCGATCACTTCGCAGATTGGACATGTAGGAAAGTGTGGTTCGCGATGTCATGCAAGTTGGTTCCCAACATCGCCGTTAAGCAACATCGCCGTTAGCCCAGCCTTGAAGAAGACCAGCATGCATCGAAACCCCGGCTGCTCCAACACCGTCGACGCGAGCACGCACACCGTTTGACGAGCCGCATGTCCATGGCCGCCGCGCGCCTTCGTCACTGGAGCAGCCACGATGCGGGGAGCGGGGGGCGCTTGCGTCATCGTTGCCACCGTCATTTCTATCAGCATCAACGTCAGCACTATTACCATCATCGTCGTCGGCATCGTACACATCTCCACTGTCACCGCCATTGGTATCACCGTCATCTCCATTGTCAGATCCATCGTCTTTTGCGTCGCGGTCGACACAAGTGTTACCACCATTCCGCGACATACTTGCCTGCGCGGTTGAGTTCCACGCGCCCATGTGTTCGTCAAGGTCATTGCCCGATGAGTTGTGCCAGCAACATGCGGGTGGGAGAGTGGTATGTTGGCACGAGCATTGGAACTGACGGCTGCAATGTCCACCTGTGAGCCGTAACCGTAATCATCCTTACCATTTTCATCGACGTCGCCAGCATCGTCCTCATCCTCATTATCATCATCAGCAGCAGCATCAGCATCAGCATCATCATCATCCGTCCATTTTGTTCTCCTCCTGGCCAAGAGCGAAATGCCAGTTAGGGGGGCCAGCACCAGCCCCAAAACCACCAGTTGGCCACCTCGCAGTTGCCTGGCGGCTGCTCGCACGGCGGTTTGGCCGCGGCCCCACAGCAGCGAGCAGGAGCAGCAGCAGGACGGGCATGAAGAGGGTAATGATGAGGAGAAGGAGGATGAGGAGGAGGAGGAGGAGGGAGAAGACGAATCAGAAGAAGGTGAGATGGGGATCAGCTGAGGCGGGATGATGGTGAGGAGGAGGAGGAGGAGGAGGAGGAGAACTCCCCCCCAATGCCTTCGCCAGCCCGTTCTCTCTCCACACCCCATCCCCCTCTTTCCTATTATCTCCTCATCCTGGGGGCACCCGAATGGGGTCCCCACCCCCGTCATACAGAGCGACCCCAAGTCAATGGGGTTAGGGACCGAAGCTTCGCCACCGCAGCCACAATCTGGGCCTGCACCCTGCCTCGGGGCGCCCTAAGGTCCTTTTGAACGGCAGAGAAATCGGGTCCTGGGCTCTCCTCCTGGTCCCCTTCTCCCCCCCCCCATAATAACACAATATGAATACTACTCTCCTCTCTCCCCTGGTGACGTCCGGGAAATGGCCGGGCCCCCTCCGCGTACTGGTTTTTCACAGGATTCCCGGGGAAACGGGTTTTCGCTTTGTTTTTTCGAAATGCTGCTCAGGCTGAGGCGCCGGCTTCATTTTCGGGCCACCGCTCGTTCCGAATCGTGCTTCCGCTGCAGCGCTGCCGCGCTTCCGCTCGTTCCGAATCGTGCTCCCGCTGCAGCGTGGGCGGCATTATTTCCAGGCCATGCCACGGCATGGTTTTCGGTCCTCCAAATAAGTTCCAAAGTCTAGAGAATGCCCCCCCGAAACAACTATTGGAAATGATTCCACATTCGGTGCCGATTCGCTGATTTTTGGGGTCGCAGAAGCCCCCCACACTTTTGGGCGTCGCCACGCCATGCTATGTCAGGCTCCGTGTCCTCCAAATCGTGCTTCCGCTGCAGCGCTGGCCTCATTTCCGCGCTTCCGCTCGTTCCGAATCGTGCTCCCGCTGCACCGTTTGCGTCATTATTTCCTGTGCCATGCCACGGCATGGTTTCGGTCCTTCGAAATAGGCCCCCAAATCTAGTAAATGGCCTCCCGAAGAGTCCAGCCGAAATGATTACACATTCGGAGTCGATTCGTTGATTTTTTGGGCCGCAGAAGCCCCCCACACTTTTGGGCGTCGCCACACCATGCTATGTCATGCTACGCGTTGATCTTCAACACAATGCAATGACATGTAATGCTATGCCATGCTACGACATCCGATTGTGCGAATAGAGAAGAGATCTACGCCGTGGAAAGGGACGGGCTGGGAGGGGTAGAACGTCAGAGATGACGCGAGCGCACCTCGCTTGCCTTCTCCCCCTCCCCTGCCTCCCCCACTCCTTCCCAGCTTGGGGCAGCTCAAGGCCAGCTCGGGCCCAGCTCGGGCACCGCTCACGTTCAGCCCAGGGTCGGCCCAGGGCGAGCTCCGACCTGGCTCGGCATCAGCTCTGGGCCGCTCAGGGCCAGCTCGGGCCCAGCTGAGGCCCAGCGCCGCTGGACATTCGACGTCGCGATTTCTTTAGAGCGTGGTTTCCCTGAGGTCTCGACCCCTTCCCTTCCCGGGCACCGGCGTTTCATCCTGAGCCGTTTTTGTTGACAGCCCTCTGGGCCTGGTACGGTCCAGCCCGAGGCCGAAAATAGCCAGAAAATGTTCCGCCGTGTTTTGTCAAGACGCCAGGATGTCAGGGTCTCCTTCCGCGCAGAGGAGCAAGGATGAGGACGAAGGGGGCAGGAGGAGGGAGGAGGGCAGGAGGAGGAGGAGGAGGAGGAGGATGAATAGGACATACAGGAAAAAGGAAGAGGAGGAGGAGGAGGAGGAGGAGGAGAAAGAGGGAGCACAAAGAGTGATGATGATGAGAAGGAGAAGGAGAAGGAGGAGGAGGAGGAGGAGGAGGAGGAGGAGGATAATGAGGAAGAGGAGGAGGAGGAGGTGGAGGAGGAGGAGGAGGGGAAGTGTAGGACGAGTGAGGCCTCCGCCACCACCCCCAAACCCCCACACCTTGCGAGAACGAGACCTCCCCCTCTCCTTCCCCCTCCCCATCCCCATATCCTCCCCCTCTCCCTCCCCCTTTCCCCCTCTCCCTCCCCCTCCCCCTCCCCCTCCCCATCTCCCTTCCCCTACCCATCACCCTCGCCCTCTCCCTCCACCTTCCCCTTCTCCCTCCCCCTCTCCCTCCCCGTCCCCCTCTCGTCCCCCTCTCCCTCCCCCTCTCCCTCCCCCTTTCCCTTCCCTCTCTTCCCCACTCCTCCATACGGCCAGGAACTGTTGCTTAGCGCGTCGCGCCGCCAGTTCTGGACAACCACGCTCCGGCGCAACACCCTCGGCACGTTCCAGTCCCCAAGCATCAGCGTCCCGAGTTTTCCCGCCTCCCGTCCCGCGGAGCATAGCGCCACGCGATCGGCTTGCAAGACTTAAGCATGTCCTGAACGGCCCCAAGGGCCTTTAATTGGGCCCCAAGAGATGCCAAGAAGGCTCCAAGAGAGCCCCGAGAAGCGCAAAGTTTCGAAAAAGGCCAGGAAGGGCAGTCGCCCGTGTCGCCAACACGGCGCCAAGAGTTCCCCAGGGGCTCCGAGAGGCCCCCCCCGGAGGCCCCAAAGAGCTTCCCAAGGTGCATTCCAGAGGCAGCGGCCGCTGGGGCCGCCGCCGCGACACGCGGAGCACGAGTTCCCCTCCCCCCCCCCCCCGGAGCGAGGACGAGATCCGCACATACTTCGGCGTCTTCGCGCAGATCGAGGAGGCGTGCTGCCCTCCTTCTCCCCTAGCCCCTCCTTCTGCGCCTCTTTTTCCTCTCCTCCTCCTCCTCCTCCTCCCTCCTCCTTCTCCTCCTCCTCCTCGCGCCTCCTCCTCCTCTGTCCTCCTCCTCCTCGCGCCTCCTCCTCCTCCTCCTCCTCCTTCTCCTCCTCCTCCTCTCGCCTCCTCCTCCTCCTCTTCCTCCTCCTCGTTTTCCTTTTCCTCCTCGTTCCTCGCCCGTCGCTCCTCGCTAGCCGCCGATTTGGCTCCAAGATGTGCGGGCGGCAGGGCCCCCCTGTATGTGCCACACACACGTATTACATCCAGCACATCCGCCGACCGACCGGCATTGGCCAGCGCAGGCTTCTGGAGAGGCCGCCATGGATGCATCTCGCCCTGCTCGCTGCTGTATTGGTGTGGAACATATGGAGAGGCCCAGCATACATGGAAGGGCCGAGGTGGACACTCGTTCAAGCCAATCCGTTGGCAGCGAGCAGCCATGCACGATTGCAGAATGTCGTTTCCACGTTCAAGACTGTCGACGCGGTGGGCCTCATCGGGACGCGATTTCGCATGAAGGAATTGGCGACTCAGAGAGTGCAGGTGCCGGACCGCATTGTCATAGTGAGAGGGTGGAGAGGAGGCCCGTCTCCAGCAAGGCTTGCGGAGTGAGTCTCATGCTGCACAAGAGGTTCAGGGATAAGCACATCAGAGCTGTAAAATTGGGGCCGCTGGCGCTGGCTCGCAGATGTTTGGCGGTTCTGGTACGGACCACACAGTAAGACATTACTTTCATGTTGGCCTCTTTCCCGCCGAAAACGACGGAGATGGTGAAGCAGTCTGCCTATAGACGAACAGTGTAACTATTACTTCAATGGCTACAACAGGAGCTTTCGGCGTCTCCATCTCGATCGGTGCTTGTACTGGTGATTGATCTGAGCAGTGGCATAGGCAAGAACGCGGGCAATTCTCTCATATTGGAAGATGGTGCTGTCCTTGCTGCAGGAGCTTCTGAGGAGCACTACGCGGGAGCTGCGGTTCGCAACCTGCTGGGTGATCATTTCTGGGAAGCTACATCGGCCCGCTCGAGTTTGGACACCTACTCTGGGGCGACTTCTTCCTCGCATGTCGACTGTGCCTGTCTTCCTGCTAGCCTCGGTGGCACCGTGCTGCGAGCGGGCGCAGTGCTGAACAGTGGACGCGAACTGCAGTTGAGAAGCATTTCTCGCAGGCGTGATCACGTTCTTGCGCTAGTGGAGATCAGGCGCCCTCCGAAGCTGCAGACACCGAGCGTCGTCGGCCATGCCCCGCGGGTTGTCGGCTCCAAAAGATTGATCCGCGATGCGATGGTGGCCGCGCTTCGAAGGGGGGGGGGGCGTGCAGGAGATGTATTGGATTCTACTGGTAGTAGGTTGGTGGATAAGAATAATGTATGGGGGAACCTAGCTGCCCAGCCAAAGCCAGAAAGCCAGACGCATTGTTTCGGTGTCTGGACAGGGTTCTAGTGGAGTAGGGGGGGGGGGTTCGTTGCCGACTCCGCGGCTGTTCCAGGGAAGCTTTAATTGGAGAACATCAGGGGGTGCGGGGGGCTTCGGCAAAGCGGGGGATCATGATGATGGGGCCCCTGGACATCACGGGGGAGGAGCATGAGGAGACGGAGGAGAATCACCAGATAATTTCACATAGTCCAAACCAAAGCTAGAGAACTTCGGAGGGAAGAACATCTTGAGTCTCTACATGACGCCTGGAAAGCTAGAGACTTACACAAAGTTATGAGATCCGCGACGGCTGCTGCGCGCCCTCCTCGATGCGGACCGAAGAAGCGGCATTTTCTGGAAGTTCGCACGGCCCTCCCCGGTCGCAGCGAGCAGTTGGCATGATGGGCAGCGGAGGGCGCTGCTGGAGGCATGGCGGCAAGAAGTGTCGCCAGAACTTGAACCGAGCATTTTGCCACCTGGCCTCAGAGCAAGTCTGGGTTTGAGGGGCAAAGGAGGCGGCGGTGGAGGGTGCCCATCGAGTTTCAAAGTATTTTCGCCGACGCCAGAAGAGACGCTGCCTTCCACCCTGGTCTGCGCCGATAGAGTTGCAGGACACGGCGCCCCCACCTGGGGCGGGAGTTAAACCGCGGCAGAGAACTGCTGGGGTGGGGGCGCCGTCGATTGCGAGGCCGATTGTTTATTTCACGCGTGCGTGTTCTTGTTTGTTTCTAGGGCGCTGGCGGATTAGGACGAGCGGGGGCGCTCCTGACCATTGGCACTGCAGCCAAACGACGGAGCTCAAGATGGAGGAGGAGGAGGATCCCAAGGGGAAGACGTGGTTCATGTGTTATTTATGTGTGAGAAAGCTGGGCATGGGAGCGCGATGGGGCGATCTAGACTAGGAGACGATGTTCGTGGGTACGGTTCAGGGCAATCTTATGCTTGTGGCTAGTGCGCTGGCCTGGCGGGCTGCGCGGCAAGGGACCTCGATGGCCTGGCAGTCTTGTCGATGCGAGAGGCGCGCGCTGACTTGCATGGCGTTGCTGCGCAGGCGCAGGCCAAGCAGCGAGCGGGCTGCGCTGCGATTGCCGTCGCTTGCGCCGATGGGGGACTTCTCCTTGGACCAGAATGCGGGGGACAGAAGGGGGGGCCCATTCATGGCGCCCGCACGGGCGAGCACATCAGCCATCCATCGCAAAATGGAAACGTGCTCTGGTCAAGGAAGGGGTTGCCGCGGGGCGGCTTGAAGCGACCGGTCTATTCGTTTCTGGGCCAGTGGATTTGGCCAGCTGTCAGTGCGCCGACGACCTTCTAAGATGGCGCGTCGCCCTAACCTCGGACGCGCTGCCAGAGCTTGTCGGGGAATCGCAGAGCGCGGACGGCTGCGCGCCGAATGTTTCAAATCAGGCGTCACTGCAGCGCCTTGTGGGTGAAGGCCCACATAGGGGGTGCTCGGCTGTCAAGCAGGGGGGGCTGTCTTTGCCCCTGGCAAAGTGGCGCAACGAGCCCGGCACTCGGGGGCTCAGTGCGTGGGAGACGCCAGGCTGACTCTCGCGTGTGGGGCGGAGCTAAAAGCAGGAGAAGCAGCTGCGACTCGGGCTTTAAATTCCTCGGAGCAGATTCGGTTCCTTCCAAAAGTACATCATCGTCTGCAGCGCGCGCTGTTGCTCTCACACGTGGCGCCGACGGCCGCGCGCTGCATGGAGACGTTCTTTCCGTCGACGGTGCCGCTTCGCTCGCGGCCGGCGCCGGCGGGCGGCTTCGCGCGGAAAGCGGGGGAGGGGGGCTCGCGCGAAGGAGGCGGGCAAGCGCGCGGCTTTCTCCCATGAGGAAGTTCGCAAGTTTTGGCGCCTGCCCTCTCTCGAAGTGGAGCTCAGATTGCGACGGCTGCGCCGGTTGCAAGCTATTCCTAGAGACCCAAGTAGTCGTGCCCAACGGTTGACCGCGCGCTCCGACCACCATGGGAATCCGAGGTTACGATGGGTCGACAGGGGCGGCTTCTTACGGGGGCCAATCCGCAGGCTTGGAGAGCCCAGGGGGGCCTGCGGGGCCATTGGACTCGTTGAGGACGGCCAGTGGTGTCTCGAGGAGCTCTGAAATAAGCGCGGCAGCGAGGTGGGGCGGGTGTTCTTGGATCCTGAACTTCACGAAGCCGCTCGGCGTAGTGACGCGGTACCACTCAAGGAGTTCGGACGT